AAAAAAAAAAAAAGGTTATTTCGGGGGGCGCGGGGGGGGATTTTTAGGGGGGGAAGTAAGCAAGTTATCCCGCCCCGCCCCGACAGTTTTTAGAGAAGGGGGGCCTCTTTTTTGGGGGCAATAATTTTAACCAGGGGCCCGTCCCCTTGGAAACCCCCCCGCGCGCCCCGCACCCCAAAACCTACCCCCCCGCCCCCCCCCCACGCCCCCACGCGCAGCCTGGCACCGGCGCCACCGAGTGCTACCCCTGCCGCCCCGGGAGCTACTCCTCCTCGGTCGGCGAGGCGTCGTGCGAGCCCTGCCCGCCGGGCGGCTACTGCGAGGTGGAGGGAGCCGCCACGAGCATGGTCTGGGAGCCCTGCCCCGCGGGCAGCTTCAGCCCGACCAGCGGCTCCGCCTCGAGCGCCTCGTGCGAGCTTTGCCCCGCCGGCACGGCGAGCGCGGCGCCGGGCGCGGTCAGCCACAAGACGTGCGAGCCTTGTGAGCCCGGCCATTTCGCCGCCACGCCCGGCCTCTCCAAGTGCGAGCGCTGTGAGCCCGGCACCACCTCTGGCGTCGGCAGCAGCGCCTGCAGCGAGTGTGCTGCAGGCACGTACGCCGCCAACCCCGGCCAGGGCCAGTGCGTCCCTTGCCCTCACCCCCTCAGTGGTGAGCGCGGCGCCGTCACCTGCTCCGTCTGCCAGAAGGACTTCTACCTGCTCAAGAGCGCCGACCCGGCCGAGATCTTCTCCTCCCCGACCGACTACTGCAAGCCATGCCCGCCAAACGCCGAGTGCTCGGACGACACCTCTCTCGCGACCCTCGGCGTCCCAGCCGGCTACTGGCGCGCCAGCCCCTCCTCCGCCGTGCTGACGGCGTGCCGCGACTTTGGGGGCGACAAGGCCGGCGAGGCGCGGTGCGCCGGCAACGAGCGCGGAGCCAAGCAGGCGTCTCGCCGTTTGCAGGCGGCGGGCTCGGACGAGTACTGCGCTTCGGACTTCACCGGCCCCGAGTGCGAGCTCTGCGCCGCGGAGAATCACTACCTCGTCGACGGCGACGAGTGCAAAGAGTGCGGAGCGCGCGGCGCCGCTGCGGGTCGCATCGCGGGCCTCGTCCTCGGCCTCTGCGTCGCGTGCGGCCTCGTGGCGTGGGCCTACAGCATGACGGACTGGCGGGAGAAGCGCTTCATCGGCCCAATCCTTCGCTTTGCAGACCGCTCCGTCAAGTACTACGTCGGGGGCGGAATGACGGCCAAGGTCAAGATCCTGTTTGGTTTCTACCAGATCAGCACCGTCTTGTCGTCCACCTACTCGGCGCGGCTGCCGGACAAGTACACGGGCTGGACCGACAAGCTGGCCAGCGCGATCTCCATCGACTGGTCGGGCTTCTTCTTGCCGGAGCAGTGCCTCGGCTATGGTACGCGGCTCGTCGTCAGCGCGCTCTCCCCCGTCGTCCTCATCGCCCTGCTCATGGGAACGGGAATCGCGCTGCGGCTCCGCCGCTGGCGTGCCGCGTCACCGCGCCCAAAGCTGTGGGCGGAGGCGGCCCTCGGCCTCCTCGACCTCACGCCGGCCGGCTTGGTGCTCATTTTCTGCTTCGTGCCCTCCATCAGCGCCTCCATCTTCCGCTCGTGGTCGTGTCAGGCGCCTCAAAGTGATGACTGCCGTTGCTCACGCCGCCCCTCAGGCAATGTGCTGCTGATAGGCCTACACCATCTCTCCGCCGAACGAGCCCCTGGAGCAGGTCTCCTACATGCGGCAGGACGCGAGCGTCGAGTGCTACACCGAGGATCACGAGTCCATCACCGCCCTGGCCCTTGGTTTCATCGTCCTCTGGCCGGCCGGCTCGCTGGTCCTCTTCACGTCGCTCCTCGCCGCCTGCTACAAGCCGCTGCAGGCCAAGTCGCCGAATGCTCTGACGCGGGCCACCGCCTTCCTCCACCGGGAGTACGAGAAGACCTGGTACTGGTGGGAGGCGGTCGAGCTGGCGCGCAAGCTCGTGCTCACGGGCTTCGTGCTGCTGATCCCGGAGAAGAACGCATTCCTTCGCCTCGTGGTGGCGACCCTGATCTGCTCGTGCTACGCCGTCGTGCTCGCCGTCGTGCGGCCGTACAAGCGGGTCGAGGACGACGTGCTAGCCGTCGCCACGAGCCTCGTCCTCCTCCTCCTCTTCCTCGGCACCAACTGGACCACCATCTTCCTCGGCATCGAGGAGCGGTACCAGGGAGCCGACCCCGCCGATGTCCTCGGCTTCGGAAAGCTCAATGCGATCGTGGACACGATGATCGTGCTCGTTGCTGTTGCGCTCGTCTTCTTCTTAATCGGCGCCGTCGTCGCCGCCCGCCGCGTCGCCAAGGTCCCCACGATCCGCCTCGTCTCGACCAAGCAGCCCCCCGAGATGAGCATCGGGACCGGCCTCACGTGGCACCTCTTCCTCTCTCACATCTGGTGCGTCGCGCAGCTAGGAGGATGATCAAGCCAGGCCGCATCCAACTCCAACCCCCTAACCGTGCAGGTCGACCGGTCAAGACGCCGTCGGAAACATCAAGAGTGAGCTCCAGCTGCTGGTGCCGGGCCTCAAGATCTTTCTCGACGCGCGCACAGGCTCAGCCGCGCTGCTCTAGCTACACACAGCCCTTCTGACGCACCGCGGAGTGCTCTCATAGGTAGATGATCTCAAGGATATTGGGTCGCTGGAGGAGTACATCCAGCACTCGCAGGTCATCCTCTTCTTCCTCTCGTGTGGCTACTTCCGCTCCAAGGCGCGCTCTCGCCGCCCTGTCCCGCGCTCGGGATCCTCTGGCTCTCAACGCACCCGAGTCTGCTGCGCCCCTCGACACTCCCCACGGCTCACCGCCCGCCTGCTTGCGTGCCACCAGAACTGCCTCCGCGAGATCCGCTCGTCGCTCGAGCAGAGCAAGCCGATCGTCCTCGTCCAAGAGGCGGACCCTGCAAAGGGCGGCGCGACGCTGCAGGCGCTGCGCGGCGAATGCCCGGAGGACCTGCAGCCGGACATCTTTGAAAAGGGCTGGACGCACACCATCTACATGCGAGTTGTGGAGTTCCAGCGCGTCTCGCTCAAGACCATCGTCGAGGCGCTGCGGGGCACAGCCGCAGCCCTCTCGCCCCTCCCGAGACCTCAGCCCCGGCACCCTTGAACCGCAGGCGGTGCTCCTCTGCTCGCCCAACTACCTGAACCAGACCTCCCTCCCGCTCTGCGTGCCGGGCGAGCCCGAGAGCGAGTTGCTCGCCTTTGCCAAGGAGACCATGCTCTGGGCCTCGCCGGCCAACGCGGGCGCCCTGGAGCTGGCCAACAAGATCGCCGCCGCCTTTGCCGGTCTCACGATCTCCACCGCCGATGCTCGGCCGGCCACCGCGACCCACATGCTGCTCTACCTCAACGAGGACAGCTTCAGCGACGCGCGGCTGGCCGACCAGGTCCAGCAGGCGCGCAAAGACAAGCTGAAGATCGTCATGGCGCACGAGAACGACCCGGACCTCGGCGGCTGCGAGTTTGGCAGAATGTTCGAAGTCACGCCGCAGGAGCTCATCGCCGACGGGCTCTACAAGACCCTGGCACGCTCGTGCTTCCCGGGGCGCCACCACCCGGCGCGCGCTTTGTCTCTCCCACATCTCGCCTTGCGCACTGGCGGGACTCACCAGCCAGGGCGTTCCGTTCCGCAGGTGTCGCTCGCGCTTCTGGCAAAGGACCTCGGCGCGACTCCCGCTCAGTCGGGCAGCGTCGCAAGGATGAGCCGCCTCTCGGGCAGCATCGCCAAGCGTGGCAGCCGGCTCGTACCCGCGATCAGCCGCCGCAGCTCTGCGAAGACAACCACCGCGGGCGACGGCTCTGGAGGCGAGGCGACGGTCTCGGTGGTCTCGGAGGAGTCCGCGGTCTCGGTGCAGGCGGCGCAGGAGCATGTCTAACTCTTCGGCGGCCGCACTCACGGCAGACGCCACAGCACACAGACGCCATCTTGAGCAATTCACATGAGCAGGCACAGCGACCCGCCGGGGAGGAGGGGCGGGAAGCGTTTGCCGCGTCGGCGACCCACATGGGTCTGGGTCCATATCCGCCGCGCGCTCTCGCAGTGATGGGGGCTTTTGCGCAGCGGTGTGCTGCGCGGCGAGCCTTTCTCTGGAGGTTATGGTTTGGGGGGGGGGGGGGGGGGTAGGGCCGGGGGAGCACAGCTGAGGCTCCGTCGCCGTACTCGCGTGCTTACTCCGTGTCCCGTGCGTCGTTGCCTTTCCTTGAGCGGTGCTATACTGGCAGGGTGTGGCTCTTACGTCTTAGTTGCGCCGTGAGCGCTGGAGTTGATTCATGATTGTAGAATGATGTGCGAGCCTCCATTGATTGTGCGGTGAAGAGGCCCCCAGACGCCACTCCACCGCGACAGTCCGACTCCACTCTCCAGGTCCAGCCAGACCGTACGTACTCTATGGGGTCAGGCTCAGGGCACAGGTGGGGTCAGCTGCCGCCGGCTCCGCGGCCGCGGTCCCTGTCATAGCTACGCGCACCATGGGGCGACGTGCCCGCCGTTGTGTCAGATAGGGAGTTGTCCGGTCTAGCAACTAGCATACCCCTTCAGGTTTGAATTGGTCTCGGCGAGGTTTAGGTACTTGACGCCCGAGGAGGAGAAGTCGGAGATGCTGACGCGCGCCGCGTAGCCGTGAAACGCGCCGTTGCTGTACGGCACGTAGTAGGCGTGTGCGTCGGTGGCGAAGCCGCCACGGAAGCCCTTCAGGTTCGAGTTGGTGTCGGCGAGGTTGAGGTACTCAACTGTGCAGACCGACCAAACGCACGCTGGCGGAAAGGTTGGAGGCGGCGCTACCGGAGGCGGCGTGGGTGGTGGCGGCGACGGAGGCGTTGCTCGGAGGCGACGGCGGCACCATGCCCACAAACATCCGAAGCGACTCGAGCTCCTCGCTCACGCTCGCGAGCCCCTGCGAGACACCGTCCTTCAGCTGCTCCGTGACGAACTCAGTGAAATTTCCGCGAAGCGCTTCGATCCGCTCGGTGACACTCTCCCCGTCCGCCGTGACAAAGTCCGTCGCGTGCAGCTCGCCGCTGCACGTCAGCTTGCCGCCTCCCTCGCCGGTCAGGCGGGTCGCCGTCAGGTCGGGCGTGCGGCTGTTGAAGGAGAGCGTCGCTTTCCTCCCCGTGATGGCGAACTCGGTCTCGTCGCCGGTCGCGGAGGAGAGCTGCCGCCGCGCCGCTGCCGGCGGGCGAGCCGCGGCCGCCGGCGGGTTGGGCGGGGCCGGCTTGTCGCGGAGCGCGCGCCGATCTTGGCGTCCTGCGCGGCGTTCTGAGCGACGCACTCCTCGACGCGCTCTTCAGCAGCCTGCACGCGCGCCTCTCCAGCGCCTTGAGGTCCGCGGCGCTCACGAGCTCAACCACCTCGCCGCCGGCCGTCAGCGGGTGGTGTGCGGTTCTCTTGCCGTAGTTCCTCTTCGGTCGCCTAGCCCCGGCGCCGTCAGTCGGACGCCTGCGTGTCACGAGTGCGAGCCGCTCGCGGTTCGTACGCCCGCTTGCGGGTTCGAGTGGCGGGCCATCCCGCTTGCGGGATGGCTTAGCGGGTTCGAGCCGTCACACATTGGCTGCCGGGGTGTGCCGAGGGGGGGCTGGGTGGGCGGTAAGCCGTCATTGCCCGGCGCTGCTTGCAGCGCTCTGGGTGGTAGTGGCGGCGCTCCAAGAGTGGTGCTCTTGGGAAGAGGTTCCTCCTTTCCGCTCCCCCCCCCCGCAAGGCGCGAGACACGACATCTGGACCTGCGCGGGTGTTTTTACGCACCGACCAGAGATCGAGAAGAAATCCGCCAAGCAATCAGCTCCGATCATCCAGCGTGCTCAGCTCCCCGTCCCTGGGTGTGAGGTTACTAACTCGCTGCACTCCGGCCATGTGAAGATCGGCTGGCGCGAGGTAGGTGGGGTGCTTGCTAGTGTTAGTCGATCATGTGCGCAGCCAACCCGAAAAAAAACAGAGAGCACATGCCGTCCTCCCATCCCCTCTTGTTGCCTTGTGTCTGCCTTCTTTTCTTTCATGCGTGGTACCCTAAGCGCTAAAAAGCATGAGCATGCCTTCAAACCCACCCGCTTCAACGGCCTCCCAAGCGCGAAGGAGTCATCGCTCTCGATCGTCGCTCATCAGTCAGTCATCTCGTCGGCAAGCCAGTGTACAGGCAGCCCCGCGCGTCCTCCCGCACCACCGCTCTCCCTAAGTCTTCGCCTTTGCGCCAGCACCCACTCTGGTGGCGGCCGGAGGACCTCGGGCGGCTTAGCCGGAAGCGGAAAGGGGTGAGCGACGCGTGCGGGCTCGGAGTGGCTCTCTCTCCACGCTCTGCGTGGGCTCACGTCATTATCCTCAACGATTGTGCCCAAGACCAGCGCAAACGCATCAAAGTGGAAGTACCTGCGCGCGCGGGCAGGGAAATGAGCAATCGGCACGTGCATTGCTGCGGGGCAGGGGCGCTCACGAGTTTAGCACATCCCAGACGCTGGCCAGTTGGTGGTTGGCCTTGGTGACGGCGATCGTTCCTGAGATCATGGCCAAGCAGACCAGAGACATGACCACGGGATACTTCCCCGGCGGCAGCGCGGAGATGCGGACCATGGCCAATGGTGGACATGAGAGAGACGACCTATGGGGAGGTAAGAGTGCCAAAAGGACGGTGTGGATGTGGATCGTTGTGAACGCGGGTCTCCCCCCATCCCCAGGGCCTCCAGGGCTCGCACCTCAACCTCTCATAGACCAGCGCACAGCGCCAGAGGAGGTATTTTCTTCTCAATAACAAGGCTGTGAACATGAGGGTGGTGCCTCGTGAAACGGACCCGCCGGCCAATCGAAAGGCCCACCCACCCACCCACCAGCTGGGAGCTGGCATTTCCTACCTAGCGTTCCTTGTTGTGTGTCCGGGTCTGGCCCCTCAATACAGCCAGCATATGAGCTCATCCATCTGCCTGGGAGCCAGACAGACCGATAAACGGCAAACGGGACCTATCTACCCATTCACAGCAAACACCCTCACAACACACACTGGGCACGGGACTGCGACTGGTACGCACTGGCACGAACACAGGTACACCACGGGAGCCGCCTAAGCAGACTCCCGCGAGGGAAAGAAACGATAAACGGCATGTCAGAACTCGCACTCTAGTCTCTACATCTTCTCAATCGCAGTCAATCGGCCGCCCCTCGATCGACCGTCACGCGGAGAGGAGAAGGATAGAGCCCATCTTCCGCCGCGTTGCCGGCCGTCCGCTCTCCGTCGCCCTCCGAACATCCCAAACACGCCGTGTTGCACGTTTCCTGCGCCTGCGCCGAGCCCGCATCAGCAGCGAGCGGCTCGACGAGCGGCGACATGCGGCCGTGCTCGAGTGGATACGACTCCGACTTCGGCTTGAGCAGGAAGTCGTGGTACAGCAGCGTGGCGCATTGAGCGCCCGCCACAAACAACAACCACCAAGACGGGCTGGTGGTGGCCGTTCCGAATGGGCTGGCATAGAGAGCGAGGCCGGCGAGGGACGCTCCGCAAATCGTGCTTAAGATGGTCGCCGCCGCGTACAGCGTCTGCGCTCGCTCCTCGGCGTTGAGTCCGTGGTCGCTGACAGCGTAGAAGAGCATCTTGGCGCACTTTTGGAGGTTACCGGTCGTTAGCGTGGTCATCATGAAGACCTTGCCCTCGAGCAGAGTATTGGGCGAACTCACAAAGTTCATCGCGCCAAGCGAGGCAGATACGGGGCACGCGGCCCACCTGCTCTCAAACAGCAAGTCGAGCACCGCGGCTGCCGCCGTCAGGGCAGCGAGGAGCAAGGAGCCCACGCGAACGGGCCAGCGTGTGACATGGGCGAGGGCGCAGAACAGGAAGACGCCAAAAAAGTGCGAGGCGATCATCGCCAACTTGTAAGAGATTGTGGCGAAAGCACCCGGCAGCGACTGCACGAAGATGGCCTCGCCAATGAAGATCATGTTACCCGTCTGCAGGCCAGCGAAGCTCTCGAAGCGAACCCAAGTGATCACGTCGGCGAAGCCTGAGATGAGCGCGAGCATGACGACCAGCGCGAGGGTGCCCGACGGCGGCGACATTCTCGTGGGAGTCAAGGGCTGAATGTGGCTTAACGGCGTGCCAACGGGCTGGAGGTGGCTGAACAGCGTGCCAACCTTGTGGAGTCGCTGGGCCGGGGGGGGCGAGGGAGGGGATAGGATTTGGGGCCGGTTTTCTTTTTCCCCTTTCGAATTAATAAATCCAATCCTCCACGACACAATTGTTGACTCTGGCGCATGCTGGCACTAACACAGGCAAACCACCGGAGCCAATTCAAAAGAAAACACTGCACCGAATGTGGAGGCATGATGAGCGGAGCTGCTGGAAAAGCATGCAATCTCCCCGTTGTGCAGGGACCGCAACCACTGCATATCCTCCTCTCTCTCTCTGCATATGTGATGGTGAAATCAAGGCTGCGGTTGGTTCATCGTCGCTTGAGTTTGCTGCTTCCCGTGAAGCTACGACCTACGTGCTGCTGCTCACCCGTCCCATCATGCGTGACATACCCGCCATATCAGCATGCGTAGCACCCTCGCAGCAGAACTTAAAGCAAGGAGAGCCGTCGTCCTTGGCATAGGCCTGAATTCCCGGGGGGGGGGCTCGATGGAGAACCTGGGCAGGCATGCTTTGACGTCCACTTGCAGTCGCAGTAGTAGGCGTTGCTGTCATAAGTGACGATCCCGGACTCATCAACCTCGAGGTCGCAGCAACCGTGGCAGTCACAACCAAGATTTGAGAGCTCGGAGCAAGTAACCCCTTGGCTGATAACCCCACAAGTCGCCCGACCACAGGACGCCTGGCAAACATCTTGCTCAAAGAAAGCGTTGTACTCCCTCTTGAGGTGCTGGACGCCTTCAAAGAAATCGCCGTTGCTGGCGGCATACGCACCGACGGCCGCCGTGGCACCTGCCCCAACTCCAAGGGCTACCGCCAGCTCTGTCGTGAGCCCTGCACCTACAGTCGTGGCTGCGGCCTCGCTTGCCACGGCACTGGCTCCATAAGTTGCGACAACCTCTCCGGCGGCAATCAATAGAGGCACAAACATCCGCCGGCGTGGGTGGCCGGTGCCTTCAAAGCCCATCTCCTCGAGCGTAACCGTGCCGTCCCCGTCAACATCGAGCTCCATAAATGCTGTCTCGCGTGGGTCGACAAACCTCGTTGGCTGAGGGGCAGCCCAGCACACCTTCCAGCCACGCTTGACGGTAGACGAGCCCGAAACCCAAGTGATGATACCGTCCTCTGGCACCATACCCGCGGGGCCAGACTGAGAGTCGCCACAATACTGTGTACCGTTGACCGTGAGGTAGTCGGTGCAAGTAGCCGGCGACTCGGAGGCGACGACGGTCTTGCTCTGGTCTACGTCAAACCAGAGCACCTCGAGCGGATTGGTAGGGACATTGCTGATCACACACCGTTCGTCGTTGCCGTAATTGCCGGGATAGTTTGGTGAGGTTGCACATGCGCCCTCATTGGTGAGCTCACATGGGCCAGTAAGCACCACAGCGCTGTGGTGCCCGGGTTGAACGATCGCCGCGCTGGTGAGAAAGATGGAAGTGAAGGTGGAGAGTAGAAAGCAAATGAGCAAAGAGCGAGCGCTTGCACACGTAAAGCCGTGCGTCGTGGGCTTGCCGGGCTGCGTCGTTGGCATGCCGGACCGGGACTTAGAGTCATTGAGCCTTGGCACCAGCCGGGCAGTGGGTTTGGCCCTGGCATCAGCCGGGCATGTTGTTGATTTGGCCTTGGCATCAGCCCTGGCAGGCGGGCACGCGGGACATGCACAGGCGCCAAAGGGGCGCAGAACCGACCTAACCCGTCGGAGGTGGGGGGAAGGGAGTACCGCCGGGTTCCCCTGCGTGAGCGCAAGAGTAACCCCGAGAGGGCTGAAGATGAGCGGTGCGCGCAGGGGTCGGCGTGACGGGGCGAGGGACGCGCCGCGCGGGGCGCCGCCTCACCGGCCCAAGTGGCGCAGGGCGAGGCGGCGAGAACCGAGCGAACAGGGCTCATCGGTTGTTCATCTCTCAGGCTCTCTTCCTGATGGCGCCGCGCACGAGTGGTTAGGCACGTACGACCGACGGGAAGGCGACCTGGTCAACGAGCGCGCTGTCTACATCCAACGTAGCGACGCTAGTAAGGCGATGTGGTACAGTGCGGGTTGGACGCTGACAAACGTCACAAACGTCGGGCACTGCAACGGACTGCCCTGGATGGGGGTATTGTTCAGCCCGAGCCTGGTGCCTGAGAAGAACAGCCTACAACATTGGGCAGTGAATGTGACCGGTAGTATGCTACTCGCCCCAGAAATGAGAATAGACGCGGGGGAAGCTGGAGCGGCTGCTCTGCGTGGCGCGCCCGCCGTCTATCTCTCCGGAGAGCTCCCCGTCAACGCCAATCATCAATATCTCGGCACTTACAACCGGCGCGGTGACGATCTGGCGAACGACCACGCCGTGTACATCATGCGCGGCGATCCAGACAAGGCAATGTGGTACTCCCGCTTTGGAAGATGGATGGTGGGCCCAACTTCTAGCCTCGGATCCACTGCGGGCGTCTTTGCTGCTTACGACCGAGCCGATACGCCAGAAGACGTGAGCACCACGTGGAGGGCGCTGGTCAAAGACGAGTGGATCGAAGCTACGGGCCTTACGATTGGTATTGCTGTGGAACTCAAGTGGAGGAAGATCCTGAAGAGCCATGTGTGCGGCAGAGAGAAGAAATCCTTCTCCTACACTGTGGGCGGTGCCAATATTTCGACCATGGATTTTGAGCAGCACCATAAGCAAGAAGAGCACAGCTGGAACCTCCATGTGCATGGAATGCTAGAGGGGCTCGCTCAGCTGGCGTCAAGAAGCATCGCCAACTTGCCAGAGAAGACAGAAACCGAGGCCTCGGTCGATTTCAAGGTCAAGGATTGGGCGCTCGAGCAGAAGGCGCACCAAGTGGTCTCTCACAAGTTATCCTGGGAGAAGACGGAGCGGTCGGAGCTCGAAGGCGATGCTTGGTTCCACGATGGCGTCTACACAGTCATGTGCCGACTCGAAGAGCAACTGCAAGCAAGTATGAATACTGGCGTTTCTACTTGGAACATGGGTCTGCCCTTCACCCGGAAGTGCTTTTTTACCATCACAGATGGTAAGCGGAGCAGGTGCTCGTGCAGCACTGCCGCCACTGGAATAGCTGACACCGTTGCTGAGGCCGAGTGCTGAGTAAACGAGTGCTGGGTGTTGCACTGACCAGCAAATAATTTTCTTTTCCTCGCAGGAGTCGCTTCTAGCGCTTACGTGTAACGTCAGTAGGCGGGGTGAGGGTGTACCTAAGCATTTTTATCTGAGCATCATATTTGGTGAATCACACTTTCACGCCACTAGACGTTACAGCAGAGGCCAACTCCCGCTACGCACCCCCGCGAAAAACAAAAATAAGACACAGGCGACACACCGACTGGACGCGCAAAAAAGCCATTCACACACACCAACTAGGAACCATAGGCTTGTGCCGTCCCTAATGAGCTGCCCCCCACGACGTAATGGAGCATGCCGTTGGCGCAACCGGCGCACCCGTCGAGATGCGTCGCCGCGCTTTTTTGATCGCAACGAACGCGAGAGCGCCGACGGCAGCGCCGACGACAGCCGCGGCGATGGGCACGGATGCCCTTTCAGAATCCTCCGCCGGGTTGTGCTGCCAGATAAGACCAGGGAGACAGTCTCTCAAGGCCACGCCAGAAAGGAACCGGATTGGCTTCGTGCGATCGAAGCGGAAGTCGCGCCCTCCCCTTCCAGCGCCACCGAGCAAAGCAGAGGCGGCGTCTTCCGCCGAGGCCGGCGCCGTCAGCAGCGCCGCCCACAGCCGCTCCGTGTAGTGCCCCTCCTCGATGTTGTCACCTCGCGTGAGGGCATTGCGCAGAGCGCGCCAGTCTCTGCGCGACTGACGGTGCACGCTCGTTGCGGTTGTGGCGAAGGTGCCCCCGTAGCACACGAGACGCAGTGGATGGAGCGCGGAGTCCAAGTGGCTCGCCGTGGCGCGGGAGAAGGTGGTCTTCACAAACCGCCACAGCGGGCGTGACGGCGAGATGAAGGGGGGGCTCTGCGCGGCGAGACGGCTCTGCTCGTGCTCTCGGTGGTAGTCTACCAAGCGAAACTCGTCCGCCTCGTGCGCCGCGTGCCATAGTGACTGCGCGCGCTCGCGCGGCACAAGGTTAGTGGGCGGCTCGCTGCCACATGCAAAACCTTCCTCCGACGCCTGCAGCTCAGACCCAACAAGATGGATGGGCAAGGGCGTATTTTTCCCGCTGCGAGGGCCGGCGGCGGCTCCCGCCGAGGTGTCCTTGAGAAAGAAGATGGACGCAGGGAGCGTGTCGTAGCGGGTCGCGATAAAGTCGGCGAAGGTGTGGTCGTTGCGGCCCACGTTCCTTGCCGATCTGACTGTGGCTCCACTCGGAACTTCGGATGCATTCGGCCGTCGCCCGCATTTGCACACCACGTGGACTCTGGAGACGCTGGCCCCGAGGCACCTCAGGTCGTCCACCGCGCCCTTCAGCCAGGCGAGGGGCGCTGTGCAATACGATACCACGAGCTCGGTCGCGCCAAGCTCGCGTCGACGCCGAAAGGGATACGGCGCCGGACATGGGATGCTGGTGGTGGTGGCTGCCGTCTCCAAGGCGGGTTTGATCATTGTCGACACGCCGTCCACAAAGGGAGCTGCAGATCGAGTCGCCGTGAACGTGAACGTCTGAACGACCAAGCACCAACGCCGTCTCCAAGGCGGGTTTGATCATAGATCGACACGCCGTCACTCAAGGAAGGATGCACTGAGTCGCCGTTTACGTGAACGATTGCCGCAAGGAGGAATTTTTCAACGCCAACAGCGGGACTAGTCAGCGCAGAAATCCTGCAGAGGTGAGGACGTATTTATTCATTTAGACGGCGCAGCAGGGCAGGAGAGGGGTCCAGGGGGCGTGCCCAAGTTATTTTTGTATACTCGACAACGAGCAGATACACACACGACCGCGACCGGTCATTCACTTACTCACTCACTCACACACACACTCACAACCGCGCGCCCAGCACATTCTTCCATGGAGAGAGTTCCAAAA